TTTCTGTGTTGTTTTTGTGGCATCATTAAAACTGAAAATATAAATACAAAGGCAGCATCTATTGGGCTGGGGTGGGGAGGGGCGGCGAGCCCTAGGCGAGCTTTTGTTAGTTGATTCTGATTGGGGCTGGGTCTGGGGCTGGGGCTGGGGCTGGTTTACCTGCGCTGCGATTTGATGGAGAACATGTTATCCCGATCGGCCAGTATGGTAACGGCCAGATCGTCCTGCATTATGGAGGGTATCATATTGAAGAAGCTGTGCACACGCGGCAGCGACTGCGACGATGCTGACTTTTTGTTCAACATGGCGACACTTGCACACACACATACGCACACACGCACACACACACACACACAGCAAAACAATTGAAAAATAAACTTTAAGGCTCGATCATTAGAGCCGGCGTCAGTTTGGCCAATTTTCAATCACAATTTCAATTTCAATTCTAAATTCAGTGCGATTTCTCGGATTGCTGCAACTATTATCTTGCGGATTACTACAGATGGCAACAACAATGGCATAGACAACGGCAACGACAACGACAACGACAACAACGCGACGACAACGCAAATGCTTTTTGAATTTTCCACGAGTGCGCGCTGGCCGAGAATGAGCGCGTCCCGCGGCGTGGCCAGCAAAAATACAAAACTCAAAACACAACTTGCGCGCTCAGGAATGAAAAAATTAAGAAAATTATAGTAGAAAACGACAGCAGCGACGGCGACGGCGACGGCGACGGCGACGACGACGACGACGACGCCAGCGGCCACAGAGACAGAGACAGAGACAGCGCAGCGCAATCAGAGGCAGCGGAGCAGCTGGCAACGGGCGGCAGCCATCAGCTGAGCTGAACGTAACGTAAGAAACAAATTATATTCAACTTAAAAAAATATGTATAAAAATAAATAAAATGTAATTTGTGCATGTGTGCGAGCGTGTGTATTTTTGTGTGTCATTTCATTTTCATCATTTGTGCCTGTGCTTTTTTTTTGTCTTCTTCTGCTTTTTGCGCGCGTACGATTTTTGCTTGCTTTTCATCATGAGCCGCAACAACAACAGCAACAGAGAAGAAGAGCGAACCAGAACCGACACAACATGTACAACATTTGCTCAATTCTTGAAATATACAGGGTGTCGCCTTGACACAAATTTGTTTATCGAATGCAAGACAGAAGAATCTTTCTTCGTATTTAAAAAAAAGATACTCATATTTTATCCCAAGTTTTCATAGATCTTAAAGTCTTCATTTAATTAAATAATCTTATAGGCAAGCTAAGTATTTTTTATAAATTTAAAATTCTTCTATTATATTTGATTTAATTTTTTATTTTTTAGGAAGATCTGTAGAAAAGGAGCTATTTATCATCGAACTAGCTGTGTAGATCCTTCGGGAATACCCCATAACAAATTACACACTCTCCCTATATTATTACCATATCACACACACACACACACACCTACACACGCCCACATAGTCGACATATCCAATGTCCGGCAAGGCAAGCAGGCGTCCTTGCCTGACATAACGGCAACAACAATAACAAACACATCATCATCATCATCATGTTCATTATCATCATCTTGAAGCACAATTCGCGCATATTATGCCTTCACCTGATTGTCTATCTCTGTTTTATTTTCATATTCTACAACTCACGCAAAATTAATTTCATCCTCTCCCTGTCCCACTCACACGCTCTCTCTTTATTTGTCAAGCTCGCTCTTTTGTCTTTTTTTGTGTTTTTTTTTTGTTTTTTTTTTTTTTTTTGCTCTAGCGCACTTACCCACGCTAATGCTTAATAAATTCTCAACTCAAATTGCCATTTGGCTGCCTTCGGGCGATCTCCATTTGTTGATGTTTTTGTTGTTGTTGTTGTTGTTCGCTTGAACGCTCATTACATAAGTATAAGGGGGAAAGAGAGAGACAGAGCAAGTGTAAGAGGGGGCAGCCAGGCGGCATGTAAATATGCACATTTGTATTTTAACTACTAACGTTTATTTTTAATATCTCTCGCAGGTTAGTCGTAAATGAGCGCACACACACGTAATTCTAATAATAATTTCGAGCAATTTTTAATTTAGCTAACCCACTTGTGTGTCCCGCTCGGCTGCTGCTTCTTCCATTCCACTTAAGCAGATATGAGCGAATGAGAGTGTGCGAGAGGGAGAGAGAGAGAGAGAAAGGCATGGGCACATTACTCATACGCCGCATGGGCCAGCGTCACACATAAATTGCCGCTACCGCCGCCGCCGCCGCCGCCGCCAAGATTTTTATTTTGATTCCGATTCCAATTTCAATTTCAATTGAGATTCCTCTGCCCGATGATTTCACATGCCCGATTCCCGATTACGATAATCATTCGCATCGTGCTTGGACTTGGTCCGCCCACTGCGTCACTTAACCCACTTGAATGACGAGCGGCAAGTGGCGCTGCATTCAATAAACAAATGTCGGCTGGGCACACACACACACACATACACACACACACGCATACTTACACACTCACACGACGGGCACTCAAACTCGAGAATAGAAGAAAAACATTTCAAGCAACTGTTGGCGCGTGATGGGGGCATTGGGTCAGCATAGAAAGAAATCTCGTGACTGACAGCAACGTGGGCATCGAAGTCGAGTCAAGTGACTGATGAAATTGTTCATAAACATTTACAAAACATAACATAACATAACATATGCTCTAATATAGATGTTTCTATTGGATGTTTCAGTTTAATGTTGATTAGCTACAATCAGAGGAAGCTCTTTTTAAGTCGAGGCTGTTTATTATACTATTCTACTATATATGTACGATACCTATTCTTACTAATCCTCTGCTACTTTATATTCTTTGAAGATTCATAATAAATATCTTTCATATATATTTGAATGTCAATAAATAAAAAGATATAAACTGAGATTCAATACGGATTTATCATATATCTTTGACGCCAAAAATGTCAAAGACATATACTTCAGTTATATTCAGAGCTATGAATATTTTATAAGCAATAAATCGTGCATAAAAATCATTCCAATAGCTAATAATATAATATAATAAAATTCTTAAATTTACTAATAATACGTTTTAAAGAGTTAGACAATACCAAACACTCTCCCCCGAGAAGATCCAACAAAATGTAAAGGTATGCAGCTTAATATTTGAGTACAAAAAATCAATTAAAGCTCTTTAACTGGAACTCGGCACAGATGTGACGAACACTTGCGGACTTTTTGAGGTATTTAAGAACTTTAATAGGAATTACGGAATACATTTCGAGTTTTGTACACCTCGCTGCACATTAGAAAAGAAAAAAAGTCTTCATATGGGGATTTTGCATGTACAGAATATGGATGCTTTTTTGAGTTTTGACTGCATGACAAATTCGTGTGTGGGATGCATTTTTATTAAAAGCACAAGAGGCCACTCAAATGCATGCAGACACACGCACACACACACACACACACACGCACGCACACAAAGAGTGCATCTGGCACACACACACATACACACACACGTAGTTGGGTGTGATTTGCATTGGGCACATGTCAAAATTTTGTTGAGGCGGCAAATTTAATACGCGAAAAGAACATATTTAATTTGGTTTGCAATCCCATTTTGCTCCTCCATTTTATTTTTTTTTTCTTGCTGTTGATTTTTTGCCTCGATGTCACGCTGCGTATGAATAATATGCACGTTACGTATACGACAGCGTCGCTGCATGTGGCGACGCGGCCAAGTGTGGATGCAAGGGACGCTGGTGGCGGTCGCTTTGGCTTGTGATTGAATTTGGCCAACGATAGTTGGGCGGTCAGATTCGGCGAAGGCAGCGCTGAGACTTTGACATTTTGCATTTTGCATTTGGACTGACCGAATTTCGTATTGGGCTTTTCCTTTTTCTTGTGCTTGTCGCACAGGAAATAGGAAATGTTTTTCATATTTAAATTAGCTGCGCTGTCGCCGCATCGCCTAGTTGTTGTTGTTGTTTTATACCACATCTTTGGCAGCTTTCATTCAACAGCTGCCCCTTGGCAGCGCCTCGCCAGCCTTGCCCCAAGCTGGCCGACAGTTTTTGCGCCTTTAATTGCGACGACGACAACGACAAATGATGACTGGGATGAAAATTTTTGGTGAATCGAGCAGCGTGCGCGGCACGTCATGTGAGATTCTTTGCCCCAAAAATAAAAGCAGCGTTATCTGACTCACGAGTGTTGCACACACATACACACACACACACACACAGAGTGGAAAGTGAAACGCTCTTCCAGCAGAAATGGAGAGCTATTCAATTACGAATAATATTGCCCAAGATTCTAGAGAGCATATTGATATAATATAATAATATCTATTGATATTTCAGCAAATATATAAATTAAAATATTTTGCATAATAATTGATATTTATTTGTTTGCGAATAAGCTGCATTCGGTAGCTACCGACTGCTGGGATACTCTGTTCCTAGTTTTCGCTACAAAGGCAGCATTTTTGGCCAGCGCAAATGGGCGTGGCAATTGATAAGAAAAAATTATATGCAATTTGTGGAGGTTGAAGACTGACTTTTTAAATTATGCACACATGGAACACAGAGCACAGAGTATAAACATTTTTGTGCAAAACTAATTGCTATAATTAATGAAATGGCTGAGAACTGAAGAATAATAGTAAATTATAATAAATATATATTGAATTCAACAGAAAAAATGAAAAATTATTCTAAGTTTTATTCCAAAGTTTAAGGAACAAGGCGAAATGTTCTTTTTACAAAGGTGCAACAAAAAAATGTAAGTTAAGACAAACATGCAACATAATAGAATACAAAAAAAAAAGGGAAAATATAAAGAACAATAACAACAACAACAAGACAAACAACAAGTGCAGCTCAAGCATACAATCAAGCAATAAACAGAGATAGCTACAAGTTAGTCGGAAATAGATAGATAGATATATAGATGATAGATAGATAGCTAGATAGATAGATAGATTGAGAGAACTGGGCATACGTACGATCTGTCAATGAGTATAGAGGCCTCCTGGTCTTTAAACCTGCAAAGGGTTACAATAATAAACAACGATAATAGTACAAATAACAGTAATAAGTAGATAGACTAAATATAGGGTAGATAGAGGTAAAACGAGTACAAAACACAAGTATCGATTATCAGCTATCGAGTTGCAACAAACAACAGTTAACAGAAATACACTAACCGAAAAACAGAACGAAAAAAAAAAACAGAACATCAAATACAATTTTATTTTATGATTGGATTTTTATTTTTTGGTTTTTCTCTTAGCGAGTTTTTCAATTTAGTTGAGTTTTTTTATTGCATATTTACTGGAAAAAAATAATTGACGCCTTTTTATTGTTGTTTAGAAAAGTGTATGCTACTGTTTAAGTGTGTGCACCTGTGTAGCTGTGTGTGTGGGTGTGTGTAACTGTGTGGGTGTGTGTGCCTGTGCGTGACGCCCTGAGGTATGCAATGAGAGGCAAATGGGATTGAAGCAGCTTAATTGAGACATCACGTGCTGCAGTTAAGCGTTGTGGGTGACTTATCCATGGGCAAGGGGCACGGCCAACGGGACAAGTTAGCCACGAGCTGTGGCACGTTTATTGCTGTTGCTGTTGACGTAGACAGCACGACGGCATTGACCCCGCCGGCAATTGATAGATAAGCGAGTGGCTCCTTTGGGGCAATGTCATGACGTCATTGTGTTGCGCGCGTAACAACTGCAACAGCAACAACGACAACGACAACGACAACTAAAACAACAACAGCAGCAGCAGAGGGAGAGGGAGAAGCAGAGGCAGAGGCAGCTGCAACATCAGCACAAAAGTCGAAGTTGAAGTGTTGACATTTAAAAACACACCACACTCACTCACACACACGCCCTCGACTAGCTTGTCTCTGACTTGCATTTTAAACATTTTGCAAATGCCAACGGCACACACACACACACACATACACATAACGCCCGCTAGCCACGCCCTAGCTGCCAGCTAGTTTTGTCCTTTGGCTTTAAAATGTTTTCCCTGGTTGCAAGTTGCAAGCAGCAGGCAGCAGTTGCAACTTGCAACTTGCAGCTTACAACTTTCAACTTTCAAAGGACTTTGCATGTCTACAGCTATGTGTGTGTGTATTTGTGTGTGTCCGTGTGTATGTGTGTCTTGTTGTGGTTTTTGCTGCATGTCCACCAATTGACCTGACCAAACACCTGCTCGGCACTCAGCTACGTTTACTTTTGGCATCAACACATGGCACAATTATCGCCTGAACGGCTTCGAGTATTGGTTTTGGCACTCGTCCTGCACTTGAATGCATCGGTAAAAAGGATCCTGCCTGTCAGCTGCTCAATATTAACTGCCCTCAACTGGCGCACTCGTGTTTGCGGCTGTGGCATGAATTGCTTGCCTGCATTCCACTTATTATTGAAGGAAAAAGTGAATTCCGAATCTTTAAATAAGTTCTAATCAAAACGCTATTCCAGCCATATTCCGGCAATCATATACGAATTCGATAAATGGAAATTACCTGGTGCCACGTTAATGTTGACTTCTATTCAGTTTACGCAGCAGTTTACGAGCTGCCAAGTTTTAGTCTTCAAATTTCGAGACTTTGCAAGTCTTACACGCTGGTGGGTGGATTTTGCGCAACGTATGAAATGCGTTTCATTTATGGTAAATTTGGGACATCGGATGTAGAAACTAATAAAAACCCCAACGTGGCGTGACATATATCACATATCACATAATCATAACATACATGCATATATCACATATACATGCATACATATGTTACATATACATACATATGAACGTGTAGATAAATAAAAAAATTCAACTTTCTAGCCTTTGCTGTTCCGACTCTTGCTTTCATCAAGGTAAGCTGCTTAATACTTGAACAATAGATATATATATGTATATATATATATATGCATAGATAGATCTTTAAAATATCCAAACATTGCATTGAATATAGATCCTTATGTTGGAATTCTCATAATAGCTTTGGAGCGCTTACTTATTAAACTATTTATCTGCTGCATTCAACTCTCATAATAAATTAAATTGTTATTCCTCTTTTGTTGTTTCTTCCTGCCGTTGTTGTTGTTATTTTATTTATGTTGTTTATTTGCCCTTGACATTTGGCAGCCGCAGTCAGTCAGCTAATTATTTGTTATTAGTGATGAAATCTTTATGAAATTTTCACTCAACTTGGTCGCTGTTTGTCATGACAGCTAAGCTGGGGCCAGTCAGCGCCAGAGTGTAGGGTATATAAGTGAATATGTATGTGTGTATGTGTGTATGTGTGGGCAATTGACAGGCTCATCAACAACATTGTTTGCAAGTGGCAGACTGGCAGACGAGGGAGCTGCGATATGTCTTACCAAAAATGTTCAAGTTGATTGAAAGCAAACGCAGCGAACGGATTCCGGACTACGCTTAGAAGACGTCCGACGCTCTACGCAAGGGGGAGCGGGTGGGGGTTTGCAGGGTAACTAGAGGCCTGCCAAAAACTTTAAAGCAGACCCAAAACTTTTTGGCCCGGCCCAGTCAGGTCGGAACAAGGGAGCAGCCAAATGCGGAAAATAAAGAGAAATAAATGCAAATTGTGTTGCTGTCGTTCGTCGCTGTCGCTGCCAAATGGCCGAAAAAGGGAGCCAAAAAATACCAAAAATATTTATTTCAACTATGTATAATTAAATCGTTTTTATGTTCTTGTCTAGTAGCATCAGCGCCTGGGGCCACTGCACTCGGGGGCACGTCTAACTTTAGCCAGCAATTTGTGACACAAGGACACATTTGCTTTGAGTCCAAAACGAATTTTTTTCTTTCTGTTTTTCGGCCTCTATATGAATAGCATAGATACCAGATTATATAATATATGTGGCACACATTTTAGCCAAGCACTTTGCACTGCATAGCTAAAAAGTCACTGGCTTGAATTTTTTAATAGTTTTGTTTTTCGCTTAATTTATGTTGAGTTGGTGCTCAGCTCATCGATTCGCAGTTCTAGGGCGTGTGTTTTGAATGGAGAATCGTTTAAAAAACAATGTTTAACAACACATTTCATATGGTTTCGCCCATTTTCCACGCTTGCGGGTGGAAGTCTTCGAAACTATGAGAGGAAATTATGCAGATCATATTGTCAATCATCAATCGGTCAGTCAGTTTATAAAGTCATTTGATACTTTAGAGAAACTTGCTAAGAAAGAAATGTTTTTCAGTTTATTTTATATGGGTACTTCACCCATTTTTAAGGGGAAATTATGCTGTTAAAATGCAGCTGCAGTGTTGTCAATGCTTCATGCGTATAAGAAAAAATATATATTTATTTAGGATAGGAAACATCGTTCCTTGACACATAATAAATTAAAGAGAAAAGGAAGAGAGAGAGAGAGAGAGAGAGAGTGAGAAAGAAATAGAGAGAGAGAACTAGAATTACACACACACATAAAACTGACATGAAGCGACGACATTCAGAAGTTATTTGGGATCAAAAGGACATCCATTAAAAAACTTTTGGTTTTAAGCATGTTCAAGAAAGATATCAAATTTAGACATAGATAAATCAAATAGTATGAGAATTCTGATTCAATGAGAAATATGTTGTGATACATCATTTGACAACATTTAATTATAATTAATTATTGCGCGCATTTCACCAAAGTGAATAGTTGCATATTAAACTCCACCGAATTCGACTCTCTGAGAAGTGTATTAAGATGTCGGTGCAATTTATTTTGGTACGGTTTTATTTTGCTTTGCTGCCTTCGCTTTAATGTGTTTATAAGTATGTTTGTGGCACACACTTGATGGGCAAACGGTTCATGTTGTTGTTTTTATTTGAAGGCGTATCGCCGGGATGCAGCAGTAAGGGGGCCAAGGGGGGCAAGGGGGGGTGGTTTAAGTGTTTTGCGGTCCAAATATTTTTGCAATTTTTCATCTACGATTTGCGCGATATATTTTTGCGTTTTGGCCTTTGAGCATCGCCCAGACGCGGGGCAGAGAGAGCCAAAAAGTCGTGTAAAAATAGCTGTAAAATGCCTCTGTGCCCAAGGTTGCATTTCGCCGCTGACCATATGCCAGGCCAATTCCATACGATGTAGTGTTTTTTTCTCTCTTTTATTTTGACTAGATGCTACCTGATGCTTTGATTTTACAGTTGTTGTTATACCCCGAACCCGTTGCACGTGGGTTAAAAGGATATACTGGCTTTGTGCGAATGTATGTAACAGGCAGTAGAAACCGACTTTGATTCTTCTGCCTCTCAGTCTGTCTGTCCGTTAGTTTAGGCACCTCGATCTTAGAACCTATAGGTGCTACGAACTTGAAATTTTAGAACTTGAAATTCTGAAACAAAACAAGTCATTCAGCGATCATTTGCGTCGTTTACATAAAATCAATAAAAATAAATATCGATATCCTATTTTTTTGAGCATATCTCGAAGTTTAGAAGAGCTAGAAACACCAAATTTGGTAAGCAGACTTTTAATTTTTCCCAAAAAAAAAAATAAAATGAATCCCATATTTATAGATATAAACGTGAACTTAAAATGCTACATATTTGAATGATGCTTTTATGTCCTGAAAGTTTGGTGAAGATCGGACAATAAGCTCCGAAGTTAACTTAATCACGAAAGCGTTGCCCACAGTGTGGGAGGAAAGAAGATCTGCGCTGGGTTCAGGGTATCTGCCAGTCGGGCACTCACCACTAGAACACACTTGTTGGCTTTGTTTTTGTGTGCAATTATTTTGTTATTATTGTTTTAATGTATAATCATGTGGCGTTGAGAAACGCATCAAAAACTTAAATGTTGTCGCGCTTCTTGCACAAAACATGGCTGCCAAAAAAAATGCATTTCCGGTTTCCAGTTGCATAACGATGGGAATGTTTTCGTACGACTGAGCTCTCATATGTGCTTGATTAACCAATCGTAGTCTCAATAGTGCAACAATATTACAGCTAAATGTTCTTTGTCGTCCCTGCATACTGAGCAAAGTTGTTGTTGCTAGTCGAGAAGGCTTCGTGCAAACAATGATTAAAGCCGGGCCAAACCACTCGAAGAAAGAGTTTAGAGCACAGATTGGAGAGAGAGAGAGAGAGAGAGAGAGAGAGAGAGAGAGAGAGAGAGAGAGAGAGAGGAGTCTGGAGCTGCTGGTCAGGAATTTATACCAAAGAGCCAGCTAGATGTGGCGAAATGCTTGCTATGAATTTTAGAAATGCCATCAATGGAACGACTCTTGACCAGCATCAAATGATGATGTTGCCAGCTCGGCTCTAGGGGCAACACAGCGATGCCATTGAAATGTGGCAAAGTGCCTGAAATACCGCAAACGATGGTAAACACACTTGCGCCCACACACACCCGCACACAGATACTTATATACGAGCATGCAGTAAAGGTGTGGCTTGGCGAATAGTAACAGCAAAGGCAGCCAGACAAGAGCAACAGATGCTGAAAATTGGTGGTACATATTTGCGAGATGGTAATGGAAATGTTCAACAGCGAAAAGATAGCATGTACGAGGCGAAAGACCAAAAATTGTTGAGGAAAATTTCTTTAAATCACTTGTGATATACATTTGAAGCATGGATACAAAAGTTCTAGAAGCTGAGGGTTTGGGCAGCAGTTGAGGTAGTTGAAAAAAAAGTAACAAACGTTGGAACAGTTGTAAGCAAAATCAATGTTGTATAAACTGTAGAAATATAAATATTTACAAATAGTAGTAGAAATTGTAGAAGAGCGTAGTTATAGAAGTAGTAGTGAAAATAGTAGTAGTAGTAGTAGTAGTAATGGTAGAAGTTGAAAAACTCAAAAACTCAGTAGTAAATAAGGTAGGAGTAAATGTAGTAGTACTAGAAGAAGTAGCTGTGGTATTTGCATTATAAGTCACAATAATAATAGAACTTGAAATAATAGTAGTATAATAATTGGTAGTACGAAAATTTGTCGATGTAGTAGCAGAATTAGAATAGAAATAGTCATTAGAATACAAGAATAGTAGTATATTAGAAGTAGGAGTAGAATGCGTCGAGATAGTAGCAAAGTAACGCAAGTGGTGGAAATACTAGTTAATGTAGTAGAATTAGTAGGAACAGTTGTCAATGTAGTAGTAGAATTAGAAGAGTACGAGCAAATGATGTCGACTTAGCATTAAAGTTAGTAGCAGTCGTTAGAATTAGGTGTAGGTAGAAGAGTCCATAGGCAAATTAGAAGTAGAAGTTGACTAGTAGTAAAAGTAGTATTATAGGTAGGAGTAGAAGTTGCAATAGTTGTTGATGTATTAGTAAAATTAGAAGCAGTAGGAGTAGAAGGTGTCGATAACGCCTGCGTAGCAGTCCTAGACTAAGGTGTGAAAACGAAAATATAAGAATAGGCATTTGTCAAAATAGTAGTAGAAGCTGGCCGCAAAGAGGAAATATAACGAATTGTAAACGGAAATTAAGTCAGGTTAAGCTACATCAGCTGGTATCATTGGATTTAGAGCGATAGCAGGAGATGTTCATAATAGAATTGAATAAGTAAAGAGCTGCTGGACTTTTGTTTCTTCAAAGTATTTCACAAGAAATGAACATGAGTGATAAATGTGTTATGCAATTTATGAAGCTATCGTGAGAGCAAAGAGCGAAGGGATCATTTGCATTTTTGATCTACACTCGTTATATTTATGCATAAGGTTGATGAGAATGTCACTTGTGATGATGATGTTGATGATGTTGAGTTAAAAATGCGTGTGAATATTGTATAAAACTCAAATAATCATAAAACATGAAAATGAAAATGAGAATGAAAACAAATATATGACGTACGCTGTATAGTCTGGATAACTCGATAATAAAATGTAGCCGATATGCGAGATGTCAATTGGAAAATAAGCGTAAGACCGAACCAATAAATATCAAATGAAGTTTGGCAATGGGTACTTACCTTTCGCTAGCAATGCTTGAGTTCCTTGACATTGACTTTGGTGACATCTCAAAGTCCGAATCGGAACGATATAGAAACGATTCGCGACGTTGCGGTAAATTCTGTAGAACCAAACCGGCGCTGGGTGAACCGCCCTCAAGTGGTGATCGGGCGCCCTGGCCATTTTCTACATCGAAGCTGCAAGAAAATTATATGAATTAGTTGGACAGTTGGTACGTTAATTACTTAGCTATTTAGTCAGTTACTAACTGCTCACATTGTGAGCGTAAATAATTGAAAAGTCAACGGGAGTTTGGCCCAAGCTTGAGTCGTGTTATAGACGGTCATGTTGACTTGACACAGCGAACTTTTTCCGAGTGGTTCGGTTCGCAGTTGGCAATGGCTTGCGAGGGTTGTTGGAGAGGGGAGGGGGGATGATACACTAGCGACGACCTACAGGAAACGGAAGCGCGCCTAACAAGGCGCTTTTAAAGTTTTTCAATTCGTTAGACATTTTTGCCCTTTTCGTACGGTTTTTCTTTGTCAGCGTCGACTGCGACTGCAACGTCGACAGCGACGCCGACAGCGGCGTCATTGTTGCTTATGAAAACTTTTGCGCCAACTCTGCTAAAAACGTAACAGTCCCAGGCCCCGGCACAGAAAACAAGCGTCAAACTCTAGCCTCCGCCAGCCCCGCGTCGCTGGCCACCGCGAACCAAATGTAGCCAAGTTTATTGAGAACTTGCTAAAAGTTGACTTCGCTACAGAGACGTGTTCCCTAGGGCCGTTGGCGCCGTCAACGGCGTGTTGAAGTCGCGCCAAAGTTGTGCCGCTGATCAAGTTACAGCGGTTGCAAGCATCAACTTTATAAGTAAGCCTAACCGCTAGATGGCGCGCCAAAAATGTATGGCTTTTGTGCGTCCTCTGGCGGAATTTAGCTTTTTGGTGTGCTGCTAAAACTATTTGGGAATTCTAAACGAAATACTCTCCAAATGAATAACAAACAAGTGAAATTATTGATATCAATTATGTATGTTAAGATCTGAAAGAGCTCAATCAGATATCGTTGAATTGTAATTACACTTATTAAATCGGCTGACAATACGATAAACTGCAAGCTAAAATGTTAAATGGAGCTCTATGAAATGCAGCTGCCAGCTATTTATTGCTAGTTGCCACAGTCGACAGCTGCCCTGATTCTGTTGCAACCAAAGACAGCAAGGCAACAAACACTAACGGCCAGAGACAGTGACTGGCATCAATCTGAGAGGGCGTTGTCATAATTAAGGAAAATACTTTCATAAACAAAAACAGATGCCGTACAGCAAGTTGTTAGCCCGTTTGGCTGCTGGTCTTAGTACTTTGGCCTGTGGACGCTGTGACGCAGCTGTGTCCTTGTTGGCGGCCTCGTTCTATCGCTGTCATTCCTTATGCTCCTTATAGCTCCTGTTGCCCATCGCCGACGCCGACGCCGCCGCCGCCAGTCAGCTCATTGAAGGCCACGCTTTTGGCAGCGAAAGTCGTAAAGAAAAATGATGTTTTAAGTAAAATTTATATCGGGGTCATTAAGTAAACTTGGCACAAAGTTGACGCTAGCCACGTATTGTTGTTGTTGTTGCTGTTGCTGCTGATACTGTTGTATCGCTTTTTATTGTTGTTGTTGTTGTTGTCGTGCGCAACAATGTCGCCATTTACCATGGCATACTTTGAAGTACTTTTCAAAGTTATGAGGCAGGCAGCGAGCCACAGTTTTCAGTTTTAAGTTGGCACAACTTTCAGTTTCGCTTTGCAGCTTTTATTTCTGTTATTTTTGTTGTTGTTGTTGCTTTTTTTGTGCGCAAGCAACTCTTCGAAGCGTGCTTCATTTAACATATTTGCCACATAATGTTGAGAATTGAATAATATATATAATTTTCTTTGTTTCTTGCTGCCTCGCCATGAGACGCAAAGTTTGCAGCTATTCAGTCATTTACTCATTCACTCATTCAGTCATTCTGTCATTCATTCTTTTATTCATTCTTTCACTCACTCCCCCATTCATTTAGACATTCATTCAGTCGTGCATACAATCATTTCACATCCAGCTACTTCCTTCCTAACAAACTAATTAAGTTGGGCCGTTTTGAGTCTTGGCTTCTTACTGGCTTGCCTCTGGCAGCAGTTGGAATCTATGCCACACAACAATCAGAGCACACACAACCCACACACACTCGGTGACACACTCATCACAATCAGCTCGGGTCGTACATTTATTTGCACATTTAATTAGGCGCACGAGGAGCGACTGCCGTGGGGCACATTTCCTGCCTGCCTGCTTGCCACAACAATGACAAGCTCAATGCGTAGCAGTCTCCAACCCTTTTTTGAGTCATTGTCTTTTTGCCTAGCTAGGTGTTGGCATTAAGCGGCTGCTTTGCTGCTGGCTTCGGCTTTGGCAACGCCTGCAAGTATGCAACACGCACGAGTCGAGCCGTTGGGGCACGCAATTTAAATGTATGCAATTGTTTTTGCCTTGGCCTTAAAGCTCAAAGCATTCGTAATGCATTGAGCAGCTAGTTTTATGCTCATGCCACGAACTGCTGACATAATCATTAATGCCGAGGCGCACTAATGGAGTGCCGCGCAGGCCAATGAGTGCATTCAATGAATACATTCAGAACTGCACTGATATAAGACCTTGGCCACAATATTCCCAGCAGCTGCAACTGAAACCGAACGCAGAAACCAATCCAGCGGCACATGCAGCGACACTTGTGTGTGGCAGCTGCTTTTGAGCCAACACAAACACAGAAAACAACAAACAAAAAAAAAAAAAAAAAAAAAAAAAAAAAAAAACTATCACAAGGCCATTAACAAAAGCCTGAGACTGACTGCCATGTGCAATGGGTGTGCAAAGCAAGCTGGGGCAGAGCGTGTGCAGCGGATGGGTTTGACACCAAAAGATTCGAGCAGCTGGAGGCGTCACGGTAGCCATTGCCATTGCTGTGTGCAAACCAAATTAAAAGTGCGAGTGAAGCAGCGTGCGTTATGAAATGAGCACACACACACACACAACTAGTCAGAGCTTCCCCTAACTGCCAACCGTAGCCCGCCCGCCATTCGGCCCACCTCGCAGCTACCTTGGCTGTTGATGTTTTTTTTAAGAGGCGGAATTCTGATAGGCAGCATATGATGCATATGAATGTTGCATTGCCTGGCAGTGTGGCAGCAAAAAGATGCCGCCCATCAGAATCGTTGATTCTCATTTCATTGCGTCGTGCATTTGATTAACCGTTGGCACAGCTGTCGCCCTGGTGGCCACCAGAAACAAATTGTGCATGCAACTTCTTGGCAACGTTGGACGACACAACGGCCAACGCACATTGGCCAACTTATTGCAATTCACCTAATGACTCAGCAATGCGAGCACATTCACTAGCTCATCACACTTGTCCACTTGTCACAGATCCAAGCAAATCGTTATGTGAACCATAGACTAGAAGAGCCTAATATAAAAGTTTTCTTTTGGATCCTATAAGCTTTCAGGGAAGATAATGTCTTCATTGCCCTGGTTAACTATCATTCAGTTGCTTAATTTAAGGAACAATTAGTTACAACTGTTTTTCTACTTCTTGTACCTCAAATGCCTTTCTATGCGATTCTCAGCCAGCTTAAACTGAAAAAAGAGTATTTGGCTGCGGTTTGGCCGTTTGTTTTTGGTGTTTCCTTCTTGCTCTGCTCAGTTTTAATTAGTAGCTGACGCACACACAAACACACACACTCACGTAGACACACTCACATTTGACGCACGGTTCGTGGCAGCTGAACAGATGCCAAACCCCACCCAATCTATCTGCTAATCAGCCGCATTTTCACTCATCTCGCCGCAACAATTCGCATCTTGTTGACTTTTGCGGCTAAACATATTTGCGGTGGTCTATACTCAAAATGTTGATGACTGTTTGCTGCAGCTGGTGGACTACAGCCAATGGCAACAGCGTTGTTATACGCACAGTGGGACCAAAAACATCCAGTCTAGGGCTAAAATGATAGCTGGCTTAGCTACGCATAATAGACAGCTGCGCAGACACACAATTATGGCCGTGACATTTAACGAAGATATGACAAGAAACGCCATGAACATGCCATGAGTTTTGTCTGTCGACCCCACTGTGCAGCTGTATGAGGTTGCCCTGCACAACCCTGGCGTGTTTGTTATGGCAACTCTATTTGAAGCAGGCAAACAATGCGAATGTTGTCAGTGAATAGGGTTTTACTTGAAGTTAGACGCGCGGCGCTCGACAATAAACAGGCAACAATCGAAAGATAAATAGTCCAATAAATATATATATTAAATACACATACAGCACACACCAACAGTTAGTGGCCAGAGGAAAGCTCGTGCTGCCCAGCCAGATGAAGCCTCAAACCAAATATGGAGTTGCGGCCACAGCTGCCTCGACGGTGCTCTGCGAGGATGTGCGAAATTTTACCACACGGCGACGCAATCTCTTGTATCTGATGCACCGCTATTTGCTAGAGAACGGCTATTACAGCAGCGCGGAGGCGCTCAAGGGCGAGGGGCGACTCACCGAGGAGTACGAGCTGTGCGACAACGTCGACCTGGACGCCATCTATCTGGAGTACGCGAGCTTCTTCAATCTGAAGTTTGGCAAATATCCGCGCATTCTAAAGAAGATGGGTCCCAAGCTCAAGGTGGAGCTGAACTCCACCAAGTCCGGGAAGAATGCGACAGGTGCACCGGACCAGTCACTATCGCAGTCACACTCACAGTCACAGTCACAGTCGCAGTCACAGCAGCGTCCCGGTGATGCACAGGCCTGCTGGCATGCGGGCGTTGGCGCTGCGACAGCCGCAGCTGCCGCCAGCCTGGCCACAGAGCAGCTGCAGCAGCAGCAACAGCAGCTGCAGCAACAGGGACCTGGACAACTGCAGGCGAATCGCCTGGCGCTGCACATCAAAAAAATGGAGACGGCCGAATCGACACCAGAGCCACGTTTGGGTGCACTGACCGAAATTGAACACGGCCATGCGGGCGACGATGCCCTCTTTGCCTCGCTGGAGTGGCAGGCGCTGGCCGAGCTGGTCAAGACGAGCATTCTGTGCGAGGACATTAAGCTGCGCTGGACGGACGTCTGCGGCAATCAGTGCGCCATTGAGCTGGTCAAGGAGGCGGTCCTAACGCCCATCGAGTATCCGCAGCTGTTTGCGCATGGCTTGAAGCCCTGGCGCTCGCTGCTACTGCACGGACCGCCGGGCAGTGGCAAGACCTTTCTGGCCAAGGCGCTGTACGCCGAGACGCGTGGCAAGGTGACATTCTTCAATATCACGGCCAGCATTATGGTATCCAAGTGGCGCGGCGAGTCGGAGAAAATATTGCGTGTGCTGTTCCACATGGCAGCACGTCGTGCGCCCTCCGTGATTTTCTTCGACGAGATTGAGAGTCTGACCTCGAAGCGGGATCGCGCCACCGATCATGAGTCGTCGAAACGTTTCAAGAACGAGCTGCTGCAGCTGCTCGACGGCATGGAGCATACGCTCAGCGGCGTCTTTGTCCTGGCCAGCACCAATCTGCCCTGGGACATCGATGAGGCCTTCCTGCGACGCTTCGAGAAGAAGCTGCTCGTCCAGCTGCCCAGCGCTGCCGAGCGCTCCATTCTCATCAGTCGCCTGCTGGGCACAACGGTGAGCCTGACGTTTCGACTGCTCGAACAGCTGGTACATCTCTCCGAGCACTTTACCGGCGATGAGATTCGCCTGGCCTGCAAGGAGATCAGCATGCAGCGGATGCGCTGCGCTACGCGCGCCTGTAAGGAGGCGAATGCACCAAAGGAATCACCGGCCGCTCAGGAGGCGACCCTGGAGCGTGCCTTCAAGCAGATACGACCGTTAGGCATGAAGCTGCTGGCCAGGCACGAGCAGTGGCAGCAGGAGAACGGATCATGAGTAAATTAATCCAAATCAAACGAAAGTATTATTGCCTTTCACGCACATTGTCGAATCCATTCAATAAAAACATTCAACCAGGAGAGCCTACAATGCAGGGGGTTGCTTAAGCAGATTCTTTAGAAATGCAATTCCGACTGCGCAAGCAAATCCTTTGGCTATGATATATTGGGGGATATGCCAGTTATGGATGCGTAAGCCTTAAGCAAGAACTTTCTATTAGGGGTAAATGAAAACAACAATTGATATAGGATGAAAGGGAAAACTGAATAAAGAGTCCATAAGGAAACAAAAACCACTAAAAATCAGGCAATTGTCGCTAGAATCGATGGCAATAATTGATTAATGGGAATGTATAGTAAAATAGTATCGACTTATAAGTCGATAAACTCATGTGTAATGCAGTTGAGAAGAAATTACCCGGGTCAAAAGGGTGGGTCAGGCAGTTACAAAGCCGCTCAAATCCCCATTCAATTTCATTTATTTTTCAAATTAACATTTGTTGCTGCATTTGAACCAGTAACTTTCCGTTTGCTGGTTCGACGCTCAGACACGGGCTCAAAGCGTCTCAGGCGCAAAGCTCATTTATGTGACTGCGATCTTGATGATGTTCCCTCCCACTTATAGGTCGAATCGGCCCAATCGATAATTTGGATAGCCGATAGTGACCACCATCAAAACGAAACTATTATTATTATATAAATGGCCTTAATACAAAGGATCATTTCTCCATCTCTTGGCTTGTCTATGTAAGGGCTGGTTCAAGAGAGAGAGAAGAGAAACCTCGGACCACTTAAAGGTTGTAAATAAACAAGAAAACAATGTAAAATAAGCAGAGAGCGTGACAGAGAGAGAGAGAGAGAAAGAGAAACGGATAGTAAAAAGGAATTAAAAGAGATATGAACGCAGCGTGTCGATGCGTTGGCATTACCTTCCCGTTGTGCGACGTCTCGCTCCCGCGATGGTCATCCGGGAGACATAGCGTCTGATGCGGCCGCTGGAACGCCGCTGGCTGCTGATCGGCACCGAGCCGGCTACAGAGCGTCCACTGTTATCGGTGGTCGTCGAGCTGCGCCGATCGCTGCCGACCATGATATCAGAGCACAAGGACGAGGATATGATGGAGGCAGCCGATCTGCGCTTGGCACCCGTAAAGGTGCCGCCGCCGCTTGAGGATGTTGTCGTTGCCGAGCTATCGGAGCGCGAGAAGAGCGAGGAGCGTTTGCTGCGACTGCTCGAGGTGCCTGTGGCATCCTGTATATTGCTATAGAACTCCTCCGTTTCGCGATCATAGCTCTCATCCTCATCATCGTCCATCGGCGGCCGCTCCTCATCCTCAAACTCCTCCGCCTCGGTGGCCATTGTATCGCTACGCTGCGTCAGCCCCCGTCCACCGCTCGACGAGGTGGAGCCAGCCTGCAGCTGGTAATACTCATGCTGGCCATGCCCAAAGTCGCGCGATCCCCGCGACCGGCTGCTGCTGGTGCCGAGCGTGCGGTATGGCGCCGTTGCCGTTGCCGTTGTTGAGCCCGAGTTACTTGTCGTGCTCGTTGCACCTAGGGAATGGCGTTTCATGCCAGCTCCGCCGCCACCGCCGGCACTAGCTGGTATGCCAATGCCTGTGCATGCCGCAGTTACGGCTGCTCTGCGCTCAGCGTTGCCCGTTTCCCCCTCGCCGTCGCTTTCGCCACCGCCGACGCTGCCGCTGAATGTGACCTCGTGGAATTTGGAGGATTTGCGACGTGCACGTGGCATATGCTCCGCATGCCCATGGCCATTGCCCATTGTTGTGATAGAGGAGCGCGGTCCGTTGTTATTGTTAAACAGTTGCTGTTGTTGTTGTTGTTGTTGTTGTTGTTGCTGCTGCTGCTGTTGCTCCTCCTCGTCGGCAGCCGGGCCCGTGCCAGGCATCAGGGTCAGCGCCAGCGGTGGGCGTCCGGCTGCGGCGCCATATGCGCGACGGCGACTCCAGGGAAAGGCGCGTATAAATGCAAATATAATAAACAATGTGGCAATCATATTGTTGTGCTTGGTTGGTTTGGTTAGCTCGACTGCTGGTGGGTTGTTATCCAGTGGGTCTAGTGCTGCTCTGGCATCTCGAGTTGAAATTCGTTTAATTGTCGCGTTTCGTTGCGCTTTACTTTACTCGATTCTGATTATTTTCAATGAATGCGTTCGATATATTTTAATTAACTTTAATTTTATTCGTGTTTGCTTTTAATATTGCACTTAACATTTCGTTATCATAAAAAGCGCTAAAGAGGGAGAGAGAGAGAGAGGTTGCGAGGGTGAGAGAAAGAGAGAGAGAGAGAGAGCGAGAGAGCCAGAAAGATATGCGAGCAGACATCTGTTGCGGAAACGGAAGTTGAGCCTACACAGCGATAGGCACACACAAGCACACGCATATAGAGACTGAGTGAGAGGGAGGGAGATTGAGAGAGAGGGAGATTGAGAGAGAGAGAGAGAGAGAGAGAGAGAGAGAGAAAGAGCGAAAGAGCGAGGGCTAGCAGAACAACAAGTGTGTGATGGAGAGAGAGAGGGAGAGAGAGAGTCAGAGCCAAAGAAGGCTTTCATGCTGATAATTTTACTAGTTATTGGTCCACCCTTCACAGGGACTAAACATCGAGGGTATTCCAGCTTAACCAACTGTTAAATTTGATATGTACTTTGCAGGTCACATTAATTATCATACTTTCAATGACTGAAAAATAGTTTAGAGCCAACAGTAAAACGAGAAAAGGCCTGTCAGCTTTGACAGCAAGTTAAGAAAAACAAAAAGTAAATCAAAACTAGGTTTCAGTTTAACAGCTATATAACAAGAAAGCACGAATATAGATACAGAAATTAGGCAATATCAATGTGTCAATAGGATAGCTCATACATCTCAAGCATCAATCAATACAAAAGAATAAGATTCAGCCATTATCTGAATTTAGACATAGCATATTATTAGCAGACTCTTAGCATGTGAATAGGATATTTTATGCTTTGACATTCTGCATAGCTGCATACATCTCAAGCATCAATCAATACATAAGAATAAGAAGCGCGCATTAGTTGAATTTAGACATAGCATATTATTTGCAGCCACTTAGCATGTTTGCTGTAATCTGGCAGTTTAATACTACGCTTCCTTTGATCGAGTGCACTAACTGATTGACAGACTGATTGACTGCCTGATTAACTGAATCGGCGATTGAGTGGCCTTTGAGTGGGCCCCCCTTGTGTGACGCAATGTTCTGCGTAATTTCGATGGTTAGCATTATGATAATCAATGCACAATTATGGCGAACAGTTGCACAACAGAATGCACACGGGACTATCAACTGGATTGGATTGCCACGCCCACACTTGCGTCCACAACACACAGGACACAGCCGAACCGAGCTGGCACATCAGATGTTGTCAGTTGTCTGTGTTGCCACGTTCAGGAGAAGCCACGTCAAGTAGCAGGATTTTTTTTCCAGCTGCGCCATTGGATAGCATTATATTTATATAAATAGACATGGATAATAGATAATAGGTACGTGCACAATATACATTTGAGTTAAATACTATTAAGCTGAACTGCTTAGTTGCCGTACTTGGCCTTGCCTGCAGTCGCACATTTTGAATTTCAATTATAATAGAAATGTTTTAATAATGCGATGGAACTAAGTATTGCCGGATAAAAACCAGCTGCAACCGGAGGAGCCACAGCATTGGCCACCAATTACGTTTCGGTGTAAGCACTTGGCTCAAGTGGGCAGGTCTGGGTCTGGGTCTGGGTCTTGCCCATCAAAGACAATTTCTAAACGCCGCCAAAGCCAATTGCATTGAGCTGCAATATGAATTGAATTGCAGCTGAGCTGAGCGCTATTATTTGGCCATTATTATCGCATATTTCATTTGATTATGTCCAAATTGGTCACGTCAGCTTTTGTTGCATGCCACACGACTTGTGTATCGGCTGCAAAATGTATCCACGCACAATTTTTCAATTTGTTTCAAATTGCATTACAGCAAAAAAGCCCCACACACAGATTGTGGATACCAGCGGGGGGCCAGCCCGAGCAGGGTAATTGAGTGAGGCTTGCGCTATCTGGACCGAGCGTATTTAAGTGAGTTAAGTGCAGCACAGGTGTGCGTGTGCACGTGTGAGTAGCGAGTGTGTGAATCTAAAGAGGAGCTACAACGAAGCCTTATTGCACCACAGGGCAGTAGATTGTGAATGCCAAGGATAACTTAAAGGTTTCCTTAATTAAATGCTGTACAAACAGTTCACACTTTAAATAAATAATAGTAGTAAAATATCAATTAGCCGATATTCGCTTTGAGAATAAATCATTTCAGTGAAGCATTTAAGAATGTGACACGAAGCAGAATGCATTTGTTTTCGACAAAGTTTTAATTGAACTGAACTTCTTTGCTAAAATAGATTCAAATAGATTTTGGCTCTTTGCTATGCCTAGCGACGTTTCCTCATGTGCGACATAGTGTTTTTGGTAGCATATAGATATGTGTATAGGGCCAAGATATAACGTGACCAGCAACAGAGGCAACACTGGCAAGTCAGCCACAGGTACAGGCATGGGATGTTTAAGTGTTGGTAAACAAGCTGGAAACTGGCTGCCAAACCCTTGCCGCCCACATTTTTTTCTTTTTTTTTTGGCCGCCTTGGGCGCTGTTTGCTACTTTTACAGCGACTACGCTCGACAACCGACGCCCGGCTACATATTTCCTTTCAAAAATGCTTTTTTTGTTCTCTTTCGCTTTTCTTTGGCAACTAATTTCAGTTTTTTCTGCACACACACACGCGCAAGGCTTGGGGGAGACTGCGGCCAAAGTAGAGCAAAAAAAAAATATGAAAGCAAAAAATGAAAAGATTTCTCCAAGTTGCAGCATCAGCTAAGCGAAGCGAAGGCAGCCAAGTAGACGCAACAACAGTGGCTGCCACACACACACACACACACACACACACACACACACCACACACACACACACACACACACACACACACACACACACACACACACACACACACACACACACACACACACCCACACACACACACACACACACACACACACACACACACACACACACACACACACACACAC